AGATACAGGCACCAATCGGTTCAGGAACCTGCTCAAGGTGGCAGGGGCTCTTTTACAAACCATAAACGGGATATCATTATCACGCCAAGAGAGTACCACTTTTCCTTAATGTCAGCTATCCAAACAGTGGTCAGAGTTCCCCGATTGGTTTACAGATTGTTTATTCCCTTTTCACCTGGTGGTTTGCAACAATCTGGTTAGTTTGGAAGAGTAAAATTGGCTCTCAGAGAGTCTCAGAACAAATGGGTTATGAATGTCACAATACTGAAATTGATACAGGTAACCTTGAATTAGAATCTTCATCGATACCTGATGAAGCCCAGCAAAATGAAGACACATGCTGTCTTCAAAATGAAACTATAATGCTTTTTATATATCTATATTTAAAGTTTGCAACCCCAGCAAAATAATTAAAAAAAAAAACTTTTACAAAAAGATCTCAAAGGGATCAGAGCAGATGAGATTATTTGGGATTGAAGGAAGGAATTAGGAAAACCTCCCACGTAGATTAGAAGAGCTGGAAAATTTTGCACAAAAATGCACTGCTGACTCAACAGTGCCCAGCTCTGTTTTTAAGATCACATTGAAAAAGCAGATTAAATTGCAAGTAACATTTGTTTTGCTTTGTTTTAACAGTAAAGTTTAGCGAAGGAAAGTTACTTCCATAAGATGACCAAGCTAGTCAGTCAGGGGCAGACCTAGGACTAAGACCAGGACTGAACTTGGAGTTCAGTGCTTTTTTCTTACAGCCTTTTGTTTGTATGGTACTCAGTGAGAAAGTGTGAAATCTTATGACTTGACTTTAATATTAGTTATGAATGCCAGTTTGTCCTTTTCTTTTGTCTTAGCTAGCAAAAGAATGATTTCCCTCTGCTTAATTCAAGTGAGACAAAGACTCTCAGATTTCTTAAGTTCCAAGAACTAATCAAAAAAAATCCAAGAACCATAGGTTTTATTTTACCTCCATGAATGCAGGAGAGGAGATAAGCAGTGTAATAAAGAAAACTTGCAGGAATTTTTGCCTTTTAGCAAGCAGATGCCACCCCCACGAGTGTTGCCAGGGTGACACCTTATTCAGTAAGACAACCAGCAGAGTTACAGACTTTTCAAAGGTTAGAAGTTGGTTTCCCAGTCAGTAGCAGCACTCTCTGAGGTTGTGATCTCACAGGACTCCTCATTGGAAATAATGTTTGCAGGAGTACATTTCTGATGCACAAGGAAAAATCTTGATGGACTTTCACCAGAAGTTAGAAAGACCCGCCTGGTTTCAAAGCTAAATACTTGCAGTTTGTACTGGGGGAAAAACAGAAGGCCTGAGATGCTAACACTTATAACATGGAAAAGAGAAAAGGGCAGAAAGATCATTTCAACAAGTGTAATGTTTTACATCTTTCTGACACAGATCATGTGATAAGATGCTCTGTATCATTTGGGGTAGAATTTTGAGGAACATGCTGGCTTATTCAGATTTTTAATTTATAACCCTTATGAAGAAAGTGAGTAAGAATAGTTAGGAAGAATCCCAGAAACATTTAATGTGGCATTAGAATCATCCTGTCTTAATTTAGAAGACAGAAGGCATAGTTAAAACCACAGCAGCAGCGATCTGGTTCTCGTAGGCCTCAGTTTCCCCAATGTGACGTGAGGGCCCTTCTGGTCCCTTCCACTCTTATTTTAATGGTGCCTCCTGCTTTGGCACAGACTTTGTTTTCCAGAGTAGTTTCTGAAAACAACCTCATGCTTCACGACGTCTCATTCTCTGAGGATTAAGAAGCTGGGGCATTTAGAATGGAATGATGTGAGGAACAGCTGCTCTGCACCTCTGTGCACCCGTGGGCCCGTGTGTGTACCTGTGGGCCTGGGCCTGCACCTGGGAGTTTCCCATGGGCCACGTGGTGTCCCTAATGGACTTATTCTTACATTTTTCTGTCCCACTCCCAGAAGGATATAGAGAAATGTGTATTTAGCAGCTCTGAACAATAAATTAGCTTTTGTGAGGAGATTCTTAAAGTTGAGTATGAATGAATGAACTAGGTTGGAGGGGGTGTGTTTAGATGATGAATGGAGGGAATTGGGAGGATTTTTCTTCCTTGGGTATTAGAGTACTCTCATTCCCTAATTCTGAGGGAATTCTGAATTCAGAATTCCCTAATTCTGAATCCCTGCAATGTATACTTAAAAGGAGCCTAAATCAGTTTATAAAGCTTAGGTGTGACTACTATTTTTAAAAATCCTTCAAACTACTAAATAAATGGTAAGTATTTAAAAAGTATTTAAATGTAAAAAGTATATGTGGAGATTTTTTGTTTGTTTTAAATCTAGAAGGATCTCACTTTCAGGAGTGAAAACCTTGGTTTTTTCCTCTTTTCAGATTTTTCTTTGAAAAATAATGACATTTTTTCCCAGGCATAGATGAAAAATTGGCTTGCATAGGTTAGCACAGGAAAACATAGGCGATGTGATGATTGCATCAAATATGTGACAGCAGACTAAAAGGTAATTTTAGGTAGATTAGGATATATATAGCCTACTTATAAAATGGGAGTCCAAACTGCTGCATGCAGGAAGCAAGCTCTGATTAGACACGCTCTGATTCCAGGTTCTGTGGTCCTTAGGATGCCCCTGACTCCAGACTCTTATCTTTATGTTCTTTGCATGCAGGACTTTCATTGCTGCCTCGTGATCGCCCCTGGTGGGCAGGTGGGGGAACTGCTGGGTTTATACTCAGGTTAGTCTCTGACTTTCAGGTTACGTTTGTGAGAGGAAAGATTTGCTGATAAATGGCTGCTGTAACGTCAACGTCCCTGGCACAAAGCAGTACTGCTGTGATGGCTGCTTGTCCAATGGCTGCTGCAGCGCCTATGAGTACTGTGTCTCCTGCTGTCTGCAGCCCAGCAAGGTATGGAGAGTTGCTCCTTGTGCTGCATCTCCTTTATTCTTTCTGCCTGCATTTCACGAGGAGCATTAGAATCTTCTTGTGAGATTCTTCTGGAAATAGAAGGGAACCTTGTCGGTGTCAGAAATGGCTGCTGTGAGGTAGCCTTTGTCTACAAGGAAAGGAGGTGGTCCCAGTTCCTCCAGTGGTTCTTTGGCAGAATGGGCCATTGTATTCCTAATCAGATATCTAAAGAATAAAACATCAGCCCTCCTGCTCACTTGAGCTCCCCTCTCTCTCTCCTTCCCCTCCTCTTCCCCGTATCAGCAGTCTGTTAGTTTAGGAGAAATTTCCAAGGTTACCTTGTGCTTCTGAGTTTGGAATTTGTTACAGGTACTGACTTTTGTTTCCGTAGCAACTTCTTCTGGAGCGCTTCCTCAACCGGGCAGCTGTGGCATTCCAGAACCTCTTCATGGCAGTCGAAGATCACTTTGAATTGTGTTTGGCTAAATGCCGGACCTCATCCCAGGTCAGAAGCTGTGATGCCTCTAGCTGGGGTATTTGCTGGTGGGAGTCAGTGTCTGCAGGAAAACTCGAAAATGTGCGCTGGGGGCTTTTGGTGGGGTGATAATGGAGAAGAGACTTAAACGACGTTGTGTGGAGCTTTGGTGGATTGATAGTACATCATCCCTTGGTATCCGAGGGTGATTGGTTCCAGGACCCCAAATCCCTAAATGTTCATATAAAATGGCATAATATTTGCCTGTTACCTACTTACATCCTCCCGTATCCTTTAAATCATCTCTAAATTACTTACAATAACTAATACAATGTAAATACCATGCTTTGCTTTTTGGAACTTCTTGGAGTTTTTTCTAATACTTTTGACCCGTGGTTGGTTAAATCCACGGATGTGGAACCCGTGGTATGGAGGGCTGACTGTATTTAGAATGTGAACATGATATTTATACAAGTTAGGGATGTAAAGTATCTATATCAAATCAAGGTCTGACTAACTTGCATCTTCCCTATCTGATTAGCTTGTCTGTATTTTAAGTGGAAGCTTAAAATTATTTTTAAGTCTGGGTGGAGTAGTAATAGTCCAATTCCTGAGAGAAGTTCTCTCCTCCGTCTTTGAAATTTAAGGCTTTCCAGCAACCACTCGTTTAGAGTGGGTACTCATTTATTCTGGGACAAAGTTGTTTATTTTAGGATTCAAGGGGATGGGGCAGCTGGGTGTTGAAAAATACACAGGTAAATCTGTAGGTTGCCAAGCTCTCAGTACTTTTCAGCATGTTGTCATTAAATGCTTTGCTCTTGGGCACTAAACACGGCACCAGCTGCTGAAAGCGTCTGAACGTCTTTGCCTTTCCATCATTCCGCATCCTCTGCTCTCAGCCTTTGTGATCAGGCGGTTGTTGGAGCTCTCTTTGTAAAATCACCAGACGTGTTTGTCATACGGGCGCTCTTCCTCTGGCTTCCATTCATGGTGTCTGCAAGACTGTCCTGGCTCCGTCTGAGCTAAATGACTCATTTGTCATTCTCTGGAACTCTTGTACCCTTTGCCAGATTTCTGTAGTCTGCCTTTGGGTTTTATGCCACTCTTTATGTCTCTGGTCTGCTCTTAGAGCATTCAGCATCACTGGGTAAATGTTTCAGGGATTATAATGAGCATTTGAAACATGAAGCAATTCCTGATGTCCTTGTTTTGCTGGAAGAGCTTTTCCATTTGAATGGGCTTTAAAGGAAATGTGGAGGATGGCTGAACCCATGACTTGCTTTGATTCATACTGTCATTCTGAGAAATGTTAGAAAAGGCCAAGTATTTTCTTTCTTTAACTGATGAAACCCAGGAGTTATTTCCAAACTTGGGTGAAGATGCTAAAATTTCAGACTTTGCATTTTCATTGTAAAGAGAAATTTACCAGTTGGCAATTTGCCTTTATAAGTGTCCCAAGAAAGAAAAGATTTGGCTGCATGTCTGTAAATTGGATTAATACTTACAATTTAGATGTTTAGCCTTGGTTTTAGGCTAATTAATGAATTCTAGACTAGCCAAAAACTCAAGTTGCTTGTATGAAAACAAATTGCTGAAAAATTAGCCACCACGGATGATTGTCTGTGTTAAATCACACTTTGCTTGGCCAGATGAAGCTTGTGTGGTACTGTGGGATTCGGCTTGTGTACCAGCCCTTAGGTATATAAAACTTGACAAAAGCAATTTGAAGTGCATCTCCTTCATCTCTGCAGGGTTCAGTGCTGGGGACTGAATTCCTTTGAAGCACGGGGTCAGGTGCAAAACACCCATTGGATCTTAATCTGACTTAAAATACTTTGAGGAAAATTTTTTGTCTCAAGTTATCCTAGTCACAGCTAGGTTGTTAAAAAAAACTCACTAGTGTGCATAAAAGAAACAGTCCTGTGGTGACACTATGTCCATTTTCATGCCCTTCATTGGCATTCTGTGCTGAGCATCTGCGTTTGCTCTAGAAAGTGCCCTGGACCCTTTTGGTGACATTTGGAGATGGACTCACCCGGGCTCCTGCAGGGAGCGTCTGCCGGACGCCGTCCTGCTCTCTCTCACGGCGCTCTTCTCTTCCCTTTTGCCAACAGAGCGTGCAGCATGAGAACACCTATAGGGATCCCATAGCAAAGTACTGCTACGGAGAGAGCCCTCCCGAGCTCTTCCCCGCGTGACGGTGAGGGAGACTCAACCCACTGGGAGGATGCGCTGCTGAAGAACTTGTAGCCTGAAGCCCTTCTCTGGTCTTCAGGAGAAGACTTGACCTTGACCACTTCTTGTGTTGTGCTCTTTGGCCTCACTCGCCCCCCGGGCTTACCAGATGGACTTGTTCCGTAAAGCAGTTGGAAATGCCAGCCAGCGGGTTACATTCAAGAAAGACAAGACTGTGGGCGACCTGGTGAAGGCATCAGCGCTCTGAGCGCCTCTCCTCTGCGGCTGCTTGGGGACGTGTGGGCATCTGTGTGTGTTCTCCCTGGGCCCTTCCCTGTAAAGTTATTTATTGGACTTCTTTAGAGTAGTGGGAAAATTCTCATGTTTCCTGTAGGAAAATTCCTTAATAGTTGAGTATATTCAAGGAGATTGTTCTTGTTGTTTTCTTGTGTTCTTGAGTTTCAAGAATGAGATTGACCCTTCACCCAGATAAAATGTTTGGTCTCTTAGAACATGCACGTTCTCTCGAGGTGGTTTGTTCTTGGTTTTGTTTTAACAGCATCTTCAAGAGTGGGCCCGGAACACCGTGTCCTGACATCTAAAATTGTCTAGAAACTCAGATGCTGTTCCCTTCTCATCCTGTGCCAACTTTCTAGCAGCTGGCACCATGTGCTCTCAGGTTTTTTTCCTAGTGGTATTTGGATATGCTTGTTTACCTATGTGCATGCACCGTTTTAACCAGAAATTCTGCCTTGTTGTCCTGGAGGGTTCTGTTCTTGTTTCCACTGCCCCTGTTGTAATGACTGGTCTTCTCAGCCGTGGGACAGTGGGAGCCTCAGGAAAGTCATCTGCTGGGTGGCCTCCTCCTCTTCTGTCATGGAAACCCCATCTTAAGGTGATTCCTCAGTGGAGATACATCTCGCAACTGACTGTAAGTGGTCGTCCTTTATCGCTTTCAGCTTCGGGAGATGTAATAGGTACAGACATTTGGTTTCCCTGTGATTTACAAAGAAGAACAAAACTCAAGTTTCTGTCAGGGTGCCCTAAGAGACTCACATCTACCCTTCCTGGACATTGGATGTGCAGGCTGCTGGTCCACATGCTGGAGGCGTCCTGTGTTTCTAATATGACACTAACCCTCTCTGGTCAAGGCTGAAAGTATTTGGTCCTCAGATCAAGATGTCGTGCTCCTCTTTCCTCTCCAGAGTCACATTACTGCACACTGTTGTTTCCCAGAGCCCCTCACTAACCCTGGTATTGGGCAAGGTCTTCCTTGTTCTTTTTCGGTTGTTCAGCGGTTGCCCTCAGAGCAGAGCACGAGCTTTATAGCTCGCTTTCAGCATTTTTATTTCAGTGGAGCTTTTTCCTTGGGCCATGTTTGCCTTCCTGTATGTTTCTGCAGTCTATTCAGTGGAATAATTTCCCTTAACTCCCTCCTGTTACTTACACTTATCTTCCCAAAGTAGTTTGTCCCCCTAAGTCAACTTTCTTAGAGGGTGAACTGTCTGGCAGTTGTTTTTAATGTTAGATCCCAGGAAATCTATTCAGTTTGCATCAGGTTTTTCAGATTCTGTGTGTGTTCACTGGTGCTAAATCAGACTGTGTGTGAAAGTAATGGACACGTCTGCATGTTTCACCAGCTCATTGCTTGTGGTAACTCAGTCTCCTGGTAGTTGTCACTGACCAGCCTCTCCTTTGAGCTTATTTGAACCCTTGGGCAAAAATGTAGATTTACTGTGAAAACAGTTTATATCAGAGGTCAGCCATACCTGTTTATTCTGTATTTGAATATTGGCGAGCACGTTTTGCATTTTCACTGCTTTCACAGCCTTTGCAGCTTAGGTAGAGAATTAAGCTCGTTTGTTCCCACCTCATAGATGAGGAAATGGAGTGAAGTGACTTCCCTGGGCCCCATGACGGAACCGAAACACGACCTTCATCTCCGGCGCTGGGTCCACTGTCCTTCCCACCACCCCTCGCCAGCTCCAACGCTGACTCATCTGTAAACACTCCTCTGAGAGCATACAGATCTCGGTTGTCCAGGCCAGCAGAGGGGAGAGGTGGTATAAGTAGCCAAATTGGGTCAATAATCCAAAGGTCATTTTCATTCAGCCCTGGAGTATGTTTTTCTATACTCCTAAGAGGCATGTTCACTGTTTTGGAAAGTCACGGTACTGCAGACTCTGTAACGAAGCCACCCAAGGACGTGGAACATCATGGGCCTCTCCAGGCTTCTAGCCTGGACCCCTCCCTGCTCCCCTCTCTGGTTTGTTTCTGGTTCCTTCGACTGAAGGTTTTCAGAATTAGGGACCTTGTTGTAGTTTTGTACGCCCAGAGCTTAGCAAAGTGCGTGATACACATCGGATTTTAAGAGAAGATCAGAGAAGGAATGAAAACACCTTTAGTTTAGAAGAAAAATTTTTAAATTGTTATGTTTGGGGTGAAAGGTAATTGGGTAATTCAAAGTATTTCTCTCAGTTCTGAATCTTAATTGCCATGCTCGTTGCTGGAGCAATAAAGATAAGGTATGTTCTAACAGGGAAAGAAGGATTCTGTAGAAAAAGACACTGTCTCCGCAGGGCCTGGGACTTGGGGTGGCCCTGGACCTGGCGACGCTGGGGCTGGCATCCAAGGGCGAGCTCAGCAGCTCTTGGAAAAGCGGGCAGTAGGATTTTAGAGCAGGGTTTGCAGTTTTTGGCTTGCTCCTGGAGCTGACTTGGAGGCTGTTCAGGGAGTGCCTCAGTTGGTGAGGCTGCAAAGGCGCTGTGGGAGCTGTGTGCAAGATTCCGAGCAAGCTCTTCCCATCATTGGGATTTGCAGGTAGATTGTAAATGAACAGAGATGTTGCTTATTTAGTCTGCTCTTTTTTTTTTTTTAATGATTATTGGAGTATAGTTGCTTTACTCTGTTGTGTTAGTTTCTACTGTTATTTAGTCTACTCTTCACAGGCTGGAGAGAATTCAGCCGAGAATTCAGCCTCGCAGTCAGTAACTCCTACTTATTAAGGCATGGCCTTGGGTAGTCTTTCCTTTTCTGAGTCCCAGGCCCTGCTCTGTGATATGGGATTGCATCTGCTCCTTGTGGGGTTGTTGTGAGGTGTGGGGTTGTTGAGTGAGTAAAGGCCCAGTGCTGGGCATGAAGTCCACATCTGCAGTCCAGTGGGGGTCTGACATCACGTAGTTGGCAAGGTGAGGATGGGTGGGCCCCTTGGGTGGAAGGGTGGCAACTACAGAGTTCTAGTATTATTTTTACTACTATTTTTAGAAGAGCTCATGCTAAAGATAATTTTTAAAATGCAGGTAATTCAGAAATGTGTCAAGATGAAAGTAATAATGACCTAAAATCATGCAACCTAGAGATCAGCCCATTTTTTTTCTCTTTTCCTCATGACTTTCTAGGCAGATATGATAATACTTTTTCTTTTTGAAAGCAATCCTCTGATGGACATCCTTCTATGTGACTTATAGGCCTATCTAATAATTTTTAGTGACCACCTGGTTTCAGTTTCATGGATATACTGTAATGTTATTAATCCCTGCTGAGGTCATTTAGCTTATTACTGTTTTTTTTTTCTTTTTTGGCTGCTACAAATAATGCACTGATGATATGCTTTCACATACACGTTTGTATGTTTATTTGAGAATGATTTTCACCAATTTATACTCACACCTAAACTATGTGGGGAGTAGGACTTCCCTGGTGGTCCAGTCGTAAAGGATCCGCCTTACAATGCAGGGGACGCAGGCTTGATCCCTGGTCAGGGAACTAAGAGCCCACGTGCTGTGGGGCAACTAAGCCCGCGTGCCACAACTACTGAGCTCGCAAGCCTCAAATAAAGAACCTGCGTGCCGCAAACTACAGAGCCCACACGCCCTGGAGCCTGCGCGCCACAACTAGAGAAGAGAAAACCTGCACGCCACTACTAGAGAGAAGCCCGCCCACCACAACGAAAGATCCCATGTGCCACAACTAAGACCTGACACAGCCAAAAATAAATAAAATAAATAAAGTATGCGGGGAGTGTCTTTTGTCATATACCTACGAACCCCTTGGTATCATTTTTTAACTCTTTTTGCTAATGGATCTCTATGTTCTAATTGATATTTAATTTCTTCCCATATTTTGATTGGGTGTTTATCTTTCACATGTGGTAAACTGCTCTTCTTGACCTTGGCCAGTTTTACTTTTGTTGGTCTTTTTCTTACAGAGCGTTCTTCACTGAAGGAGGCCTTAAACCCCTTTTCTTGTTTTCTTCAACCCTGCATTACTCAGAATCAAGTGGCTCACTTGTTGACTAACTTTTCCAGTTGGTCTAGGGCAGCAAATGGGGGCAGTTTTGCCCCCAGGGAACAGTTGGCAACGTCTGAGACATTCTTATCACAACTGAGGGCAGGTGGTATGTGTAGTGGGTGGAGCCCACCACTGCCCCCATGACACAGAGTCATCCAGCTCCACGCATCAGCAGTGCCAGCCGAGGCAGAGAGGCCCTTCTCTCGGGTCACATTTTACCCACTTCGGTTAAACAGAAAAACTACCAGGATCTGAGAGCGGACTTGATTATTTCGCTGCCCTTGCCTTCTGCTGCACGCAAGTGCTGCTGATTAAATTACCCTGGAATCCCATAGGACGTGCTGCTTCCTCCCTGGTCTCTACCAGCCCAGTGCTGCCTCCAGGAATGGCATTGTTACTCTGCGGCGGCATCCCTCGCGCGCTGACACAATCCAAGTGCAGACACCTCCCGTGGGCAGAATGACCAGGTTTACAGAGATGCCCCCTCCCCCCCCCCCCCCCCCCCCCCCCCCCCCCCTACAGTAGCTCTTTGCAAGGAGGGCCTTTGGGGGTGGGGCGAGGGGAAATGAGTCAGTACAGATTCTATTCGGAAAACTGGTCATTCTACTCTAAAAAGGTACCACATAAGTAAGTAGTAATAATTAAAAGAAAAAAGAATCCAGTGGGATTGTGAGAGTTCTTTCCTACACAGCCCTTTTCCTGACTCTGTGGCATCAGTGCATTGCCTTCCGGGCCCTTTGCCTGTGTGGACTTTTGTTGCATACTGTGTTGTCATGGTGTGAGGACAGTTTTGGGTACCAGGATCCCCGTTTTCGCTCAGTCACATGTCTGCAACATTCAGCATCCAGTCAGCTTACACAGACATGAAGAGGAACAGGTGGCCCCCGAGGGCCTGAGTGGGGAACAACAGCGGTTGTGTTTGTGCGGCCGACTCCGTGTCCCGGCAGCCCCTCGCCATGTACCTTCAATTGTACAACTCGACTCATGTCTGCTGTTAGAGCTGAACTGCTGGACTTTTTAAAAATAGAAATACAGCCTTTAATATTATAATAAACAAAACAACTGGCCAGTTACAACCACCGGGCCCTGCAGTCAGTCAAATGTTTGGATAGGGGTCCAGCTGTATTGTTTCTCAGGACTGCACAGTCTGTGGGCTCGGAGGAACCAAAACATCACTGCTAGAAATGCATTTTATTTCTAAGTGGGTACTTTCCAAGTTTTTGGTAGGGTCAGTAGTTCCTTCAGGTGTTTGGACTTTCTAAATTCATACATTTTTTAATGCAACATAGAGTAGGCAAGCTCTCGTCAGCTTACATCCGGTTATCAAAATCAGAAGTGTTTGCTAAATGAGAAAAAGTGGTGTTGGCTATCAGTTAAATTCAAGATTTCAGACTATGTTGGTCACATGTCACTATTACTGAGGGAGGAGTGTGTGTGTTTATAAGTGTAACAGCAGAATGAAGTCTGTGAGTAGCATCCTAATTTTACTGATGAGAGCACAGGCATTAATGACCTTGAGTAAATTAACCTCTTCTGGCTTTGGTTTCCTCATTTGTCAGAGGAGGGTGATTGCTAAGGTATCTTGCAGATCCAAAATTCTGATTTTTGTGCCAAAGATCCTGCCGTGTGTTAAAGCAAG